ATGCATGCATGCTTGCATACATACATACATACATACATACATACATACATACATACACACATACACACATACATACACACATACACACATACACACATACATACGTACGTACATACATAAGTACATACATACATACACCATCATATACACCCATGTATGCATGCTCGCATGCATGCATGTATATGTATATATATGTACATAGACATATATATATATATATATGTATACACACACATTCAACTTGAAAGCAACAAATACAGTGTGACAGGGCATATCTCTCGGCCAAGGTTTAGGGTGTAGGGTTTAGAGTTTGGATTGCTTTCCAAAGAGCCAAACACAAGATCCGGTAATTGCGCAATAATTTATCCTGAATCATGTGAGGGCTCCCTCTCTAAGCCCTAGATTTACTATAATCTACCACAAATGCCTTGTGCGCCAGATAACAGCTAGCTTCTACTTGACAACCCCTAAACCCGAAACCCTAAAGCTTAAAAAACTGCTCACAGGCTTCGGGGTTAGGGTTTCCTTTTAGGGCTTAGGATTTATATGGGGAACTCTCTAAATAAGGGTCCCTCGTTAGGTCCCCAATATAGTATGACACCGTTATAGAAAGGACCCCAAAAGGGACCGTAATTTAGAGAACTACCCATACTACAGAGGTGTAGGTTTTGAGGGTCGGGTTTGGGTTTCATGTTGGGGCGTCGTGTTGTATGGCTTTGTGTCTGGGGGTTTCGTGTCTTGGGCCTTAGGATCCAAACTGAGGGGTTCAGGCTTTAGGGTTAAGAGTTTAGGGATTATTGTGTAGAGTTTAGGGTTTAGGCTTTAGGCTTGAGAGTTTGGGGTCGAAGAGTTTGGAGATTAGTGGGTCTTTGGGCCTAGGGGTTAGGGTTGAGGGCTTTAGGCTTTAGGGTTTAGGGTTTAGGGTTTAGGGCTTAAGCCCTAAACCCTAAACCTCTGACAACTTGAAAGGGCCAGGCCAAGTCATCCCTCAAGACGCTGCCACTAGGAACTCGCAGTCTGAACTGACACCTGCCTCGATGACTTAGTTCCGAGCATAATAACCCCCGTAGCCTCTATGTACCTACTTAGGCCTTAAATAACCCAGAAGGTCCATGTACCTAAATAGTATATACATTGGCCCGAAAGTACCTATATAGGGACTACATTAAGGCCAATGTATACACTATTCGGGTACATGGACCCTTATGGTTACATGGAGCCTGAGGCCTTAAAGAACCTATATACTGAGCCCCGAAACCCCAAAGCCCTCTGACCCTAAACCCGAAACCTTAAAACCCTAAACCTTAAAACCCTAAACCCTAAAACCCTAAACCCTAAAACCTATAAACCCTAAAACCCTAAAACCTTAAACCCTAAACCCTAAAACCCTAAAACCTTAAACCCTAAACCCTACACCCGGTTACATGGGGCCTGTTGGATTTCCAGCGCGAAACCTGTGGGGGCCCCAGGATGGGAGGCTCAGTTTTGGGTTTGGGGTTTCGGGTTTTATGGTTCAGGGTGTAGGGGTTTAGGGTTTAGGGGTTTAGGGGTTTTGGGGTTTAGGGTTTAGGGTTTAGGGGTTTAGGGTTTTGGGTTTGGAGGTTTCGGGTTTTATGGTTCAGGGTTTCGGGGTTTAGGATTTTAATTGGGTTTGGGGTTTAGGATTTAGGGTTTAGGGGTTCAGGGGTTAAGGGTTTAGGGGATTAGGGTTTTAATTAGGGTTTAGCGGTTTAGGGGTTTAGGGTTTTAGGGTTTTAGGGTTTTGGGTTTAGGGGTTTAGGGAAATTGGGGTTTATAAGGGGCTTAGGGTTTAGGGCTTTAGAGGTTTGGTGTTTAGGGTTCAAGGGTTTAGCGGTTTTGGGTTCAGGGACACAGCCATCGCGTAGTAGTTTATTGCTAAGAAAGGGTTTAGGGGTCTTACTACCGGGGCCTTAATCGTTGGAATAGGCTTTTGGGGGCGTATACAAGTATCATAAGTTATTTAGTGCAGAGCCCTAAGAAGAAACGGTGTTCAGGGCTTTGTGTAAAAAGGCCGGCCAAGCACACCATGCTGAAACCAAGACGCCAAAAATCTGCACACAGCTCGCAGCAATTGGCGCAGCAAGCCGTGGTGCGTAGCCTTGTCTGCCTTCACGAAGTCCTTGGCACTGGTTGCTAAGCTGCTAAGCCCCAAAACCTACGCTAACCACCAATCTCAACCCTAAGCCCTGCATGCCAACCCTAAATCAAGCCGCTAAATCCCGAAACCGTAACACCCTAACACCCTAGTGTATTAATCCCCTAAACTATCCGTAAACTGAAAACCCCAAAGAAAGCCTAACCCCTCAGACCTCAAACTCTATGCGTCCTAAACCACCTAAGAATGATTGCGAAGCGCGAGGTTTTTGGGGTCGAGGGTCCAGCGCGTCAGCGCTTTCAGGACCCTTCAGTCGGGGTTTAGGGCAAGGGTTTCGGGTCTAAGTATGGGTTCCGTGGAGTTGCATCTACAAGGGCAGCAAAGGGGGCGCTGCGTGTTTACAGTTTAGTGGTTGCCACGGGCTTTTGGCTGAAGGAGTATTTTTTTTGCATGTGTGCGGTATGTGTAGGGGCCTGAACAATTACCAATACTATTTTGGAGGTTCCTTTTTCTTAGTCATAGTATGATGGGCCCCGAAACCCTATTCTGATGCTTAAGCCCCCCAAATATTAATTGGTTTCTTTGGGGGCCTTAGATTTCTTGATTGGGGAATGGGTCTTCCAAGGAGACCCTCCGCACCCGCTTCCGTTTCTTTAAAGGTTCTACTGGGGTGCAGAGAAAGCAGGGATGAGGATTTATGTTTTGAGTTCTTGGGTTAAGGGCTTCGGATTTAACAAGATAAATGCTTCGATCATCAGAGGGTGTCTAGGTGTCTATAAACCCCCGCAAATATGAACTTACTGTAGGGGCCGGATTATATAATCACCCATACCAATTTTGGAACCCCCCCTTCGCTATTCTAGCCATTAAGGCCTCTGTATTACCTGCTCGGCTTCTGGCCTAACCCAGTGCTAACACAATCCAGCACAGCAACGAACCCTAAACCCTAAACCCTGAACCCTAAACCCTAAACCCTAAAACCTAAACCCTAAACCCTAAACCCCATCCGTGACACCCCGGGTCCCTCAGAACTCAAGGCACGACTTCATTTCAGGGCCTAAATCCTGAACCCTAAACCCTATAGCCTAAACCCTACACCCTGAAGCCTAAAGCCTAAAGCCTAAACCCTACACCCTAAACCCTAAACCCTCAACCCTATTTAAACCCTATAGCCTGAAGCTTAAACCCTAAACCCTAAATAAACCCTAAACCCTGAACCCTAAACCCTAAACCCTGAACCCTAAACCCGATAGCCTAAAGCTTAAACCCGAAACCCTAAATAAACCCTAAACCCTGAACCCGGAACCCTAAACCCAATAGCCCGAAGCTTAAACCCTAAACCCTAAATAAACCCTAAACCCTGAACCCTAAACCCTAAACCCTAAACCAAAACGCAAGGACAGCCACATCAACACTGTTCTCCACCAGCACGAAGCTCAGAGGAACCTGGCGGGATTCCAAAAGCGAGGCCTTAGTCTGTAAGCCTCCAGGGGTTTAGGGTTTAAGGGTTTAGGGTTTAGGGGTTTAGGGTTTAGGGTTTAGGGTTTAGGGTTTAGGGTTTAAGGTTTAGGTCTTTAGGGTTTGGGGTTTAGGGTTTAGGGTTTGGGGTTTAACGGTTTAGGTCTTTAGGGCTTAGGGGTTTTCGGGTTTAGGGGTTTAGGGTTTAGGGTTTAGAGGTTTAGGGTTTAGGGTTTAGGTCTTTAGGGTTTAGGGTTTAGGGTTGAAGGGTTTAGGGTTTAGGCCTTTAGGGTTTAGGGTTTAGGGGTTTAGGCGTTTAGGGGTTTAGGGGTTTAGGGGTTTAGGGTTTAGGGTTGAGCTTACACGATCTTACACGCTAAGCCCTGAGCCCCAAACCTCAAACTCCTTCATCCTGGAAACTCAAACCTTAACCTCCTGACCGGCAAACCTCAAACTTGACACACTTGATCCTGAACCGCAGTCCTCATGATGCAGTTGCCTGAAACATAAGAATAGCATTCTGGGTATATTGAACTATACTTATCGAAAGGAAGCCCCAAAATAGTATAGGTAATTATTAAGGTAACCATCTTGACGCTCAACCCTGACACCCCGAACAGTAACCTCTAATCCCCCGACCCCAAAAAACCCAAAACAACACCTGCAACAACGACGCATTCGAGTCGGTATATTAGGTTCCCTAAACCCTAAACCCTAAACCCTAAACCAGGTTCGGGGCGAAGGCTAGGAATGTCGACGAGCTGGAAGCCCTACAAAGGACCCAAGCACAAATTATCCGAGGCAATACATGAGTGGTTGTCAAAATTATGGTCCCTTTTTGGGTCCTTATTATAATACGGCACCTATTATTTAGGGTACCCCAAAAGGAATCCTAATTTTGACAACTACCCATATGTCTGTCAGAGGGCTGCAATATACTTTATGTTTATGTGACGTTTTCATGCTTTCACCTCTACAATATGTAGGCAGTTGGCTTCAGTACATTATATCTATGTGTCTTGCTACTTCCTATAATAACCGCATGGGCATTGGCCGACGGTAAGCGGTAGCCTACGATCTTCAACAGTCAATTGGCATGAGTGAAAAGTGCTCAGAAGATACTGGATCTCCGGTGCCGCCTTGCATCACCACCCACTTCAATTAGGCTGTGAAGCTAGCATAGAACGACATCACCTAGCTGTGGAGGCATGTATCGGTACATGGATGTGTGTGTGTGTGTGTGTCTGGGTTTACCCATACTTGTATGTAGAGGGCTGTTTGGGCACGTTCTCCGAAATAGACGTCTCCTTCGAACACAAGATGTTGATTTCTAGCTGCTCCGACAGCAAATATGCTAATGTACAGGTCTAAATAGTCACCAATACTATTTTGGTGGCTCCTTATTACAAGTATAGTATAAGGGGCCGCAAAACCCTAGTCTAATTATTAAGGCCCCTATATTAAGCTCATGCGTTTCCGCCTAAGGTTTCTCTTCATTTCCTACGAAGAAAAGCCCAATCACAGCCCCAAGCAAACCTTGCAGCCTAAGCCTCGACCCCCAAACCTTGCAAACCTAAAATACTAAACCGCAAGCCTAGCTAGCCTAAACCCTAAGCCCCAACACATTGCAAGCCAACACCCTAAAGCCCAAACGGGCACCCCTGAAGCCCTACATCCCAAATATTGCAAGCTTTAGCTGTAAGCCCCAAACCTTGCAAGCCCATATCCCAAACCCCAAATCTGTCGACACACAAACCAGAACACACCACACTCTGCAAACCACGCTGATGCTCACCGCGGCAGACGAACATGCTTATGACCCTTATAACCCTACCCCAAACCCTAAACCCTAAACCCCTAAACCCTAAACCCCTAAACCCTAAACCTAAACCCTAAACCCCTAAACCCTAAGCCCTAAACCCTTAGGCTCCAGTTACCGAACTAGTATGCTAGTAGCGTACTCATATGTAACCCATCTACTCATTCTTTGGGTAGCTTGGGCCGCTAGGAAAGACAGTTTTACCGCAAACCCAAAAGCCTAAACCGCTGAACCCCTAAGCCCTAAACCCTAAACCCGTGAACCCCTAAACCCTAAACCCCCAATCCCCAAATTCTTGCTCAGGGATGGCTGTATTGCTTTAGGACTTTGCTGGTACAACATGACACTGTGGGTCGAGTTAGGGCTTAGGTAGGGTTTACCTTAACCCCAAATATCCTACCTTTTTATGGACTATTATATAAAGAATTCATAACAATGGGCCCTAAAGAGGTAGGTTCTTTAGGGTCCAGGTAGGGCTGAGGGAGTTCGGGGCATGGGGTTACGCATCAGGTTTCGAACCACACGGGGCACTATATCCCGAACGACGGCAAAGGGAACATCGAAACTAAACTCTCGAAGCGCTAGCGACTCCGTGCCGCTTTGTCAAGATCTTCTCTAATGTGGCCGTGTCATGCCGCGCCAGGTGCGTGGGCGGTTGCTGTGCTTTAGGTGCCCGTTTGCGACCTGTTTGATGTAGGAAGCCGTGTCGAAAGCCACTGACGACTTCCTGCATATGGTGCAACGTCGTTATCCTCATACAAGTCCAAAGACGGGTTCAATCGAATCAGCGTCCTGCTGAAGCGTACGGGCTGCGAGGAGTGCGAGTGCGGCATCAGCAGGCTCGCCGCACGAGCACCAAGGACGTGGCGTCCTGGCGGCAGCCAGATATTGCCGAGCTTGTTGTTCCGGCTCAGCAAGTGTTCGTCCCAAGCTTGGCAAGTTTCCACAGCACAC